AATAATAAATTCGGCCCTCACATGGTCACATTTTCTTCTCATCCGGCCCTCACCCTAAAATGAGTTTGACACCCCTGCTTTAAATGATGCAAAGTTTAAAATGGATGCAGTTAAATTCAATTCAATAAAAAAAAAAAACAACTTTATTTGTCCCCGAGGGGTAATTAAGGAAAGAGGAGAGGGATTTCAGAATGACTATTTTACTTTTTTCGTAAAGCCCCTTTCTATGCCACAATGGCATCATCTATACTCTTTCACATCAAACTAAACAGGGAGGTAAAACATTTAGGGATCAAAAATAAAGTGTTCTGTTCCTTTAAACCATCATCTTGGTGCATGACTTCAAATCAGGGTGAGAGCTTTTCCAGACTGAAACCTTAAGCAGCTGGAGCAAGGTATTCTCAAAGTCCTCTCATTCCATATGGCACCATCTCCATGGTCACCGTTATCAGCTGAGAAGATCTAGGCTGCCCATGCTCATTTAGGGCTACGCTCAGAGGTTCGGCTAAGACGGAGCCAGAATCTTTTAGCACCAGCTACTACCTTCACGGGGCTGAGGTTGGTGGTCATGATGATTTTGTGCAGTGGTCCGGCCAGTTTCGGAAGCAGCTTGGGCTCCTTCTCCAAACCCTGGGCTTTCGTGTAATACTCCAGTCTCGACCGGGAGAAGAAGTTGTTGATCACAGTCACACAGTCATGCTGGCCTGGGAGGAAGGAAAACACAAAGCGAAAAATTGTTCCATCTCCGCTCAAAAGACCATGGATACATTGTGCAATGGTAACTAAGAAAAGATCATAAAGAGGTTAAAAGACATACATCCTTAGTTTCTTTGTCATGCTCCTCTTAAACTACGGTAGCCTTAGGTCACAGGACCTATGATTATAACCATCTCTCTGCTCAATGCTGCTGCCAACCTAAGACCTACCAGCCTAAGACCATCTTACCTACAAAGGCGGCCATCTGAGCTGCAGTGCGACCGACTGAGTTGACCACGTCTGTCTCTGCCCCAGCATCAAGCATCATCCTGGTGATGTCGGTCTTCCCTGGGGGGGGTCAGCAGAGCCCAGGGTTTGAGAGTCCCGTCCCAGACCGTGTTACAGGATACTCTGGGCCGCTGTTAATTCGTCGACACCCACCTGACAGCCCGGCAAACATGAGGGCAGTGTAGCCGTGCTCGTGTTCGTTGCAGTTCACATCAGCCCCATGCTGCAGGAGCAGCCTGCACATGTCGGCCTTGCCCTTATAGGCAGCATGCATGAGGGGGGTCATGCCATACTGAAGACAGAAGGATAAACAGGTAAGGATACATGCTAAAGTTCATTTGACAGGTATTATACGCGGATGTTCGTCTAGCAGCCTATTATTTGTGCCATCACACATTACATGCAATCAATTTTGAAGTCTCACACTTTAAATTGCTCTTACTACAAAATAATCAAGTTAGCTTATAACTTTAGCATCAGTTACCAATGCAAATTATTCATTCACTGTATTTTTGTAACTGCAGTGCTTTTAGGAATCTGCAGAACAAAACTGATATTACAAAAGTGACTGGTCAAAATTTAAAAAGAACAAGCTTAAATTAGAATCTAGAAGAATTTCGCAAATGCTGCCACATCTGCTTCTGACAGTGTGGTACACGACCCTCAGACTTTTGTGATCTGTCCCATCCCTAATAAAGGTATCAGGAGAAATCTGTGCACTACATCTAGTGGTACCTCGCTATTATGGTGGTTTTTCAAGTGCAACAGACCACTCAAGTCATAGCCATATGTTTGCACACAAAAGATCACTTGTTCTTCTATAACACGTGCACATGTTTGTAGAAGCAAGCAGTATATTCGTGTGAATTAATCAAGGGGAACAATTAATACTCTGCAATTACCAGATACATATTTATAAACAGTATTGTGCATATTACCGTTTCATAAAACACTTCCAAGAAGAAAGACACCTCATATTTTCACATATTACGAATAAACGTCAATGAAATTTATTAAAATACACCGACAAGTAGCAATATCAGTATACATATATATATATATATTTTGTGTGGAAATACATATAATATACTCGTATCCAATAATGCCGATATTCTTTAGCCTCTGTTTTTCTTACCTCATCTAAACAATTGACTCGAACATCCTTACATCCCAGTAACCGTGAAGCTTCCTGTACATTGCCTAATAAAACAGATAGAAAACAAATATAGCGAACGGGTTACCAGATTAGTTAGGCTGGGAAAAGAACGACTTAACCTCATTCCTCGGTGCATATAGCTAGCAAGTTCATTTGTTTAAAATTTGAAATACATTGATTTAAAATATACTGTTCTGTTGAAGTGGCAGCTAATTAAACCACAGCATTAATTTGCAGGTAACTAATAGCAGCTAGCTAATGTCGCACGAGACGATCGCGGCATGGCCTAATCCTTTAGCCCATATAAGCTAACTGGATGCAAGCAAAATGAATGTCCAACTACGAATGTACTTTAAACTGTTAACAACTAAGCTATCGAGAACTCCTGTTGTTAGTTTCTTATATTTGCACATTTTAGTTTCGGTAAATGATTCACGTTTGATTAGCTGGGCAGTTAATACGTCCTGACATACCTGCAGAAATAACCTGGAAAAGGTCCTTTTCTGTGGCAGAAAGATCGCCCTTCTTGGGGGCAGCCATGGTTACGCCAGCAAGTCTGCCTTTTGCGTGTATCCTTCTCAGTTTAATTTACAGAATCAATTCTGTGAGAATTAGAAACAAACTCTTTCCAGCAGGACAGCGAGTCCACAGCTGCCAGTTCTGTGAAAGCGGGCCACTGTGAGCGGCCCTCCCCTGGACTGTACCATAGCAAAGATAGGGGGGGGGAGCACGAAACTTGTGTTTTGCTTAAAAAAATAACAATAGAACTGCTGAATAATTTCTAACACTTAATGAAGCAAAATTCTTATAAATATAATTTATAATATAAAATGATTGGGAAAAAATGAACTTAGACAATGCAATCCATTTTAATGTGCATCATAATCCGATAATACCCTACGTATATTTTGAGATCAGGGTTTTAAGGCTGTGACAGATCGACGTTTTGTTAAATAAAACTGCCATAGTTACGGCGCAAAGGCAGGATTGTCAACTTTGGTCAGTTGGCTGGCGTGAGATATTCAATTCGAGACAAGTCTGCACACACATTTACATGTATGCGCCAGTTTTATTACCTTGTCAATAGCCCGTAGAGTTTGAAAACTACCCCAGTGCTTTTATGTAGCTTATTTTAGGTTTATTATGGAATAATATAGGTTCACCGTAAGATGTCTTGCGTGAGGGTCTGAAAGCGCGAGTGTCACTCCAGATGCGTGAGAACTGGCAGCCCTGCAAAGGCTGTCAGACGGCGAAAAAGTAAAGAAATTAACATTACACAGTAAGTAGGATGATTACTGTGCGCAGTAATTTCCACTAATGCACACTCAATGGAACCCATTCACGATGTTGACGGCCTTATTTGCTTTTAGCCAGGAAGCATCTTTAGGTAAATAGGCTATGTCGTTTAAGCTGTATTTACTGCGGTAGAGTAAGAGTCATAATCAGGGTTGTCAGCTCAGTCGTCACACTCACGCTTTCAGACTCACACTCACGCAAGAAATATTATGGAAAATCCTGGCAACGGTGCTCATAAGTGCAACGCTATAAACTGCCTTTCACAGTAGTGTCTTCTTATTACTCCCTATCCTTTGCTGCTGTCACAATGAAGATAAAGTGACCACGCTTCTTCTTTGCTTTGACTAGCTATCCTCCCTTTCCTGTCCATCCTTGGTTGGTGGGTCAGGGGGTATCGCCTTTTTTAAATTAGGTCCAGGTGCCGTACCCCTTGTAAGTAGGTCCAAGTGTATTGTATGTTCTGTCTGTACTAGACAATAGCATCAGTGAATTATGCCGTAATCCGACTCCTCACCGAAGCCTTATAAGTGGCCCGAGAAGTCGCTCATTTTTGCGTGTCTGCTCGGGTGCGGCAGTAAAGTGGAGGCTTCAGGTAGCACTGATTTTTCTAACGGGAGTTTTATTTACACAAAAATGTTCTAAGGGCAGAACAAAAAAATAGAATATAAAAAATATTATAATAATGAATGAATTCAAGTACAAAGTTCCCAATGGGAACATGTAACATTAACATGTGATGCAGCCTGAATCAGACCCATGCATGGGGATTTGCCTGGACCTGGGCGTTGGACAGTATCGATGATTGCAAACTGCAAACCGGCTTTCTGAAGTGGCATTTCTCATCTGCTCGGTGTGGTGTATTGCACATGACATTTGTATACTTAAATTCATTAGAAATATAAAAGTATGAAATAATGCTAATTGTTACCCATCAATTTTCGTAGCGTTTGTTCAGTGCACTGTTGTGGTGAGCCTGAGACCAGCTCCTATAACCCCAAGGCACGAAGCTGAGATCACCCCGGACAATCAGGGCAAATTACAAAAATAAATTCATCCTTCTGCGTGTTTGTCGACTTTGAGAGGAAACCTGTACAAAGATAGAATAAATATACAAATTCCAAACCCTGAAGGTATATGAGGCTATAATGTTACTGCCTGGCCCACCCTGCCCATATACTGCCCATTACTATACAACTACATGTTAAAATGTCAAGGAACGGTGCTGTGAGCCAACTACTTTACCCACTGCGCCACTGTCCTCCCATTTTCAAATCCAGAATCCTAAATAAGTCCAGACATTTCTAAGAATTTTGTTAAAAAAAATCTTGCCACTAGAGGTCACCCTCCCGCAAAAAAATCCATATGGCTTGCCATTTATTTAAGATATACTATATTACCTTGCCGATGATTATTGTGATGATCATTTATAATGCTATTAGGTGTTTTCCATGTTAAGTTTCATCGATATTGGTTTGATAGAAATTAGATGTCATTCCTTAAAACCACAAAAACCAAAATGTCCGCAAGTACTGTTTTACATGGCACATGTCTCCAGTTATAAAAGGTTGAAAAATGCCAGTAAGTTATATGGGGACAATGTTAGGCGCTGCGGGTTAGGATTCTGTCCCCATGATCGGAAGGTATGTGGTTCAAATCCCAGCGTTAGAAAAGTGATTTTAGGGTTGGGTCCCTGAGCGACACCCTTAACCCCAATTGTTCTAGAGACCGTCGGACCCTGTTTCTCAAATATGTACGTCATGTGGCTCAAAGCGTCTGCTCAAATAAATAAAATGTAAATACTAGCTGTTGAATACTGAGGAGGTGCAGATTTAGCGGACCAATCAGCGATGCCTCTCGGCTTCCCTGCTGGTTGTTAAGCGCTCTTCCCGTTTTCTATAGCTGAGCGTCAAACCAGTTATCCGGTTACGAATTGGAACGTGTGTTTTTTCTGAAACTTGCTGTGGATTTCTAATAATTAGAAAATATTTCCATATTTACGTAATGGTGTGTGGAGGTTTTACTTGTTCTAAACATGCGCTCTCCGCTCTCAACATTCTTTACGTGGTAAGTTTGCTGTGTAAATTACCATATGGAATGATAAATTCGGAACATATTTCTGAACATATTTTCTTTTGCTTACAGGAATACGACGTGGAGTAAATTGTGCTCTAAGGCCTTGTATTTGCGGTTTCCCTTTTTTTAATTCTTTCGCACCTGACTTTGATGAAATATAAAAATGTTACAAAATGCAGCTTTCTAACAAAGGATATGTATCTTTTTGTAGATATTGACTTTTGTTCAATTTTGTTTAAGTGACATCAATATTTACTGTTTTATGAAAAATTTTAGTTTTCTTGAAGCTGAACATAAGAGTAGACGAGGATGTTTCCACGTAGACTCATTTCTCCTGTCAGCGATACTAAGATACAGTAGATGTATTTCCTTGAAGTCCGAATCATGGCTACTTAAAGGGAAAAAATTATAATGATGATTTGCACCCTTCCTACAGCCAAGGGCCTGTAAACCCACTGTTCAGAGTGATTATATTTAATATACTAAGTATTACATTACATTTATTATCAATCTGCACCTATAATGGGTTCATAGGCCCTTGTCTGGATTTCTTGTGTATACATTACATGTTATATAATATTTTATGCAACAGTAATTGAGAGATATATACTCTTTCATATTAAAGTACAGTAGTATCCTTAAGCAGGCAATTAAAGTATATAAATTATTTTTTTTCCTTAAAGCATAAACTCAAAGTTGTTTCTGTAATTTGTTACTGAATGAATGCAATGTTTACTTTTGCATGTGTAATTAAATTACCTCTAACGTGCAAAAACTTCATCTCCGCTTAAAGGCACTGCTATAGTCTGTCAGCTGTCTCCTATTTCTGTATTTCCTCTCATTCTGTCGCCTCTCTCCTTTCCTTTTTCCATCCACTTAATGCCCCCCCCCCCCCTTTGTTTTTTACCTTGCCCTTCCCGCCATTCTTCTCAGAA